GTGCCACTGCACTCCAGCCTGGGTGACGGAGTGAGACTCCAACTCAAAAAAAAAAAAAATGCAATGGGTTCACACTTCCTCTTCCACAATGATGCCCGGCAGCTTTGTATATCCCTTGCCTGCATGCCCAGGAATCTGGGGAAGAGGTGGGAGGCAGGGCTCTTTGCCCTCTCACCAGGAGAGTCTTTTTTTTTTTTTTTTGAGTCGGAGTCTCACTCTGTCGCCCAGACTGGAGTGCAGTGGCTGCTCCCGGCCACTGCAGCCTCGACCTGCTGGGCTCCAGCTATCCTTCCACCTCAGCCTTCCGAGTAGCTGGAACTACAGGCGCGCGCTACCACGCCCGGCTAATTTTCGATTTATTGTAGAGATGAGGTCTCGCCAAGTTGCCCAGACGGGTCTCGAACCCACGGGCTCAGGCAATCCACTCACCTTGGCCTCCCAAAACACGGGACAATAGGCTGAGCCACCAAGCCTGGCCATTTTTTCTTTTTTTACTTCTTAGTATCCCAATCTAGAGAAAGAGGGCTATCTTTTAACCAAAAAATGCAAATTCTTAGTTTCACAAAAAAAGTTCCCAGGTAGGACCCTTGGGCTCTGTTGTGTCTGTGGCCTTGGAGTCCTGGAAACATCCTTGGAATCCCTCCCTTTCCTCTACCAACGGGGAATCTGAGGCTCAGAGTCACCAAGTGATCCTGAGTCGGCTGGCAAGCCCAGCCAGGCCCCCTGCCCCTCAAGTTTGGAGTGAAGCAGGACCAGGCTCTGGAGTCAGATGCAAGTTCAAATCTTGGTTCTACCATGTATTTAGCTGTGGGATCTTGAGCAACTTACCAGACCTCTCTGGGCCTCAGTTATACTGACAGTACTGACCTCATACTCGTAAGGATTGAAGACCAAGTTAGAGAATGTAGCGATGCCCTCATCACTGTCAGCTACCAAGATTATCACACCTCAATGCCACCCCTCAGGGCTGCCGCTGGGACTGAGTCAGCTTTTCCCAGGGAAATAGGCAGTGGGTGCTGGTTAGTCCAGGCAACTCCACTTATTCTTTTCTTTTCTTTTTTTTTTTTTTTAGTTGGAGTCTCACTCTGTTGCCTAGACAGGAGTTCAGTGGCACGCTCCCGGTCACCACAGCCTCAACCTGCTGGGCTCCAAAGATCCTTCTGCCTCAGCCTTCCAAGTAGCCAGAACTACAGGCATGAACTACCATGCCCAGCTAATTTTTGATTTTTTTATTGTAGAGATGAGGTCTTGCCAAGTTGCCCAGGTGGGTCTTGAACCCTCAGGCTCAAGCAATCCACTCTCTCGGCCTCCCAAAGTGCTGGGATTATAGGCTGAGCCCCAGAGCCTGGCCCCTCTTTTTCTTTTTCTTTTTTTTTTTTTTGAGTTGGAGTCTCACT